TTGTTTTCATTTAGTCTTTCAGGAAGGAGGAATACTACTGAACAAACTACTTGAGGTGCATCACTCTGCCCTCCTAAGGTTGGCATAACCTGGAAAGACTAGCCTTGAGAACGTACACAAAGCTCAGCTTATCACTGGGTTCAAGCTCTAAAAGTTACTAATTTGGGGGCAGCTTTTGGAGTGTTGTATATTATTAGTTCTGTTCTTATGTATTTACATGTTAGGATAGAAAATTATCCCTTAGTAAATACAACGAAACTTTCTTGAAGAATGTTAAAATAGAAGGGAAAATAAATGACCCCACTGGTGCAGGATGAACACTGTAAGAAAAGGCATCACAAGAAAATCACAAGATACTCAGGACTGAAAACATGAATGAGCTGACAGGAAGCCAACTGCATATGAACTAAATTAACACCTCCATGGGGTCATCTGGCTGAGTGCTAGTGCATACTTTAATCCTAGTACGTGGGAGACAGAGGCAGGAGGATTTCTGTGAGTATGAGGACAGCCTCATCTACTTAACAAGTTCAAGACCAGCCAGGGCTACATAGTTAGACCATGTCCAAAACAAAACCAAAAACCAAGAAACAAAAAAAGAAAGAAAGGAGCTGGGCTGTAGCTCTGTGGTACAGAAATGGTCTAGCATGCATTGAGCTAAACCAACCCAAGTAAGAGCCCTGACTTATGGCATATGCTATGCCATAGTTTTGTAGCAGCAATGAATGCTTAATTTCTCCTTTATAAACAGGCATCTTCAGACACTTGACTACATTTATGTAAGGGCATCTCCAGACCTTTACACCAAACCCTCAGGACCTCCAAATATAAATCATGAAATAATAATATCCCAAACCAATACAATTCTAATAGGTTCCTTACCTTTTATTCTAAGAACAATAAAATTATAACTGTTTCATTCTGGAAATATTTTTATTAACCAGATACATATTAATAAACATACTAGTAATACATACTATAAAATACTCTTTGGATAAAACAAAAAAGGATTGAGCTATGTATGGTGGTACATACTTGTAACTTGAATACTTGGAAGTTAGAAGCATGAGGATCATGAGTTCAAGGCTATCCTTGGCTACAAAGCAATTTGAGGGACAGCCTCGGATACATGTTACAGTATCTCAATCAAAATGACAACAAATAAAAGGATTTGGTATATTCAAAGAAAAAAGGTTGATATGTAAACTGTACTAAATTCCAAAATGGGGTTCACATAACCACTGTAAGAACAGGAGCTCGTAGAGAATATTTAAGATACAAATATAGGAAAGAACTTAGGGCTCCAGTAGCACAGGAAGTAACCCTGAGAAATTGGCATATGAGGCTACTTGACATTAGAGAGCTCTACAGTGAAGGAGACTGTCAGAAGACTGAGGAGACAGCCCACAGAGTGGGAAAACAAATGTCTATACTATATTTCAAACAGAGCATTTATATCTAGAATATGTGCAGAATTGCAAAAATAAACACCAAAAAAAGAAAAAAAAAACCGTGGCAATCAATAAATGAGCTACTGAACAGAACAGACAATTCTCAAAAGAAAAAAACACAAATACCAATAAACATTTATCCTTAGCCATCAGAGAAATGTAAATTAACACTACTCTGAGATTCCATCTCATTCTACTTAGACTGGCTAGCATCAACACACACACACACACACACATAAATACATGCTGGGCATGGTAGTGCATACTTTTAATTCCAGCACTTGGGAGGCAGAGAAGCCAGCCTGGTCTACAGATTGCATTCCAGGGCAGCTGGGGCTACAGGGAGACCCTGCCTCAAAGATCAGAAAAAAAAAAAGAGAAACACACACACACACACGACAACAAATGCTAGAGAAAAAGGGACCCTTATTCACTGACAGTGGGAGATAAACTGATACAGTCACTATGGAAGCTGGCATGGAGGTTTCTCAAACAACTAAAAACAGCACCACTCTTGGGCAAATACACCAAAGGATTCTAGGTCCCTCCCATTACAGAGATTCTTGGACATTCAGGTTTACTGCTACATTATCATGAAATGGAACCAGCCTAATATTCATCAATGGATGGCTAGATAAAGAAAATGTGGTACATATACACTATGGATTTCTATTCAGCCATAAAAATGAAATCAAGGGCCAGGTGTGGTGGTGCACGCCTTTAATCCCAGCACTTGGGAGGCAAAGGCAGGCGGATCCCTGTAAGTTCTCTTGGAGGCCAGCCTGGTCTCCAATAGCAAATCCAGGCCAGCTGGGGCTACAGGGAGACCCTGTCTCAAAAAAAAAAAAAAAAAGAAAGAAACAGGCTGGAGAGATGGCTCAGTGGTTAAGAGCACTGGCTGCTCTTGCAGAGGACTGGGGTTCAATTCCCAGCACCTACATGGTAGCTATGAATTGTCCTTAATTCCAGTTCCAGGGGAATCTGAAGCTCTCTTCTGACCTCTGCGGCATTGCACGACACATAAAATAAAAATAATAAATATTTAAAAAAACACCCCCCCCTCCAAAAAAAAAACTCTAAGAAACAATGAACTGGGTAGGGTGGCACATGCCTTTAATCCCACTACTCAGGAGGGAGAGGCAGGTGGATCTCTGTTTGAGGCCAGCCTGGTCTACATAGCGAATTCTAGGCCAGCTGGGGCTACTGGGAGACCCTGTCTGAAAAAGACTGAAGAAAAAAAATAAATAAACGCACCCCCTTAGGTTTTTTACTTCTCAACACCCATGCTGTGGTACTCTTAAATACTTCTATCACATTAATTAGAAAAAGAAAAACCCCCAGGCATCTGAGATTATACCATTTCATTAACAGTATAATGAATTTAGGGTCAGGGCAAATAGATTATTTTTGATAATTCTAAAACAAAAAAAATCTCACTTTCCACTTGCAAAACTAGATTTGAAAAGATTTTAGAATAGATTTCTTAAATCCTTCATCTGTGTGTTCATGTGTGCATGTGTGTATGTTTATGTATGTGGAGGGCAGAGGTTGACAACAATTGTTTTGTTTTTTGGTTTTGGTTGACATTAATTGTCTTCCTCAAACTCTCCACCTCACTTTTAGCAACAGGGCCTCTCCCTGAATCTGAAGCTCACTGAGTCGGCTAGGCTGAGCCAGCAAGCCCCAGGGATCTAGTCTCCACGTGTGCAGGTTGGGATTGCAGGCATAGCTTTTATATGGGTGCTGATAACATAAGCCCAGGTTCTTGCACTTGTGTGGTACCCATCATGGACTGACTCCCACTCCCACTCCTTCTGGCTTCTGAGAGGTTCTTAACTCAGTACAGGCAGAGCCATCTTCCACTTCATGACTTAGCTGTTCTCCCTGCCTCCCATCTGACCTGCGTCCATCTATCCTTGATGGTGCCCCACAATCATCTTTCTGAAGCATACATATTTATGTTGTGACCCTCCCTTGTTTAGAATCCTTGCTTCTGGCTGGAGTTATAGCTCTATTGGTAGAGTGTTTGCCTATCATGCATGAAACCCCAAGTTTGATCCCCAGCACCAAATAAACTGGGCCTGGTGGTACATGTGACTCATCATTCAGGACCTGGAGGCATAAGAATCACAAGTTCAAGATCACCCTCAACTATATAACAAGTTCAACACCAACCTGGGCTAGATGATATCTTTTCTTATAAAAAGTAAATGTGGGGGCTGGAGAGATGGCTCAGTGATTAAGAGCACTGGCTGCTCTTGCAG